TGCCCACATTCTCTCTGCGTATCCTTGATGACCATGTAAACAGTAACGTCATGCTCATAGTTGTACCCATAGATATGTATAGGTAGATTCCCTATTATTTAGATGGCGTCTGCGTGCTTGGGGCGAAATAATAGGGAATCTACCTATACATATCTATGGTTGTACCTGCATGAATGGTCATGTGACATGCGTTTTCGGTTGTGTAGTGTAGACTGAGATCGTTTCCAAAATGCAGTGAAAACGTCAGTGTAGACGAGGATCATTTTCATTTTAAAACGCCGTTTTAAAGCGAAAACGCACTAGTGTAAACAGGGCCTTAGTATCAACTGTGCCAGCTACATAGCTGCACCTTAGCAACCACCCAGAACACACTATCAAGCACATAACCATTCCAAAGCAACCATTCAGAACTCCCTAGCAACTGCATAGTGACTCCCTAGGAACCACCTAGAACACTTTATCAACACCATAGGAACACCTTGGAAAATACTCAAAACACATAGCATAACATAACTGCATGCTTTTCATAATGGTTCTTTTTATCTCAATCCAGTCATATCCTGTTCTTTTTCATCTGATATATATATATATATATATGGGAAAACTTGCATGTTCTGTTAGTGTTTAAGATAGCTTTGTATTGTAATTTTTCATGTTCCCTTCTGTTCTCTGTATACTCTCTTTTATATGTGACACAAGAAAGCAAACGCAGCGGTCTTGAACCTCTGAACGCCGCTGCTCTTCCCTGCCAAGCCAAAGAGTCTCACCGCACGGCCTTCATTCTTCAAACCACAAAACTGTTTGATTACGAGGCCGCGCTGCAGCTCTAGCTCCAGCAGCAGGTGCTCGTCTGGCAGCGCGTTCAGAGGGGCCGGACGTCTCGCCCGTAATCAGTGCAGCCTCCTCACATGCACTTGCATTTCTAAAGAGAGCGGGAGGCTTGATTGGCTCAGAATCAGTAATTATGAACATTGTTTGCAGTAAACAGACACTACTCTTGGACTGTTTGCAAATGGCTGGCAGCAAAATGCCAATTATAAGATGGGGAAACTTCTACACCTACAGCAGAATTTGGGCGAGAACATCAGTTTGTTTATTGTCAAACTTTTTGTTTTATTTTCAAAGACCGTGCTTATAGCTGTTTCTGGCTTGCAGCCATATCATAAACACAGATTGTCTGTCATAAGCGTCATAATATCAAAGTGTAAATAACAGTCTGGACTGTCAGATTTGTTCTTAATGTAGTTACTCATCCTCTAAATGTCATTTGGTCTAAAAATATAAATCAGCACAACTGATCTGAAGACGTTTCAGTGATTATTATGATCTAAAATGAGTTGGTTTAACCGTGTATTTGACTTCCAGGGTGACGCGCGAACACAGGGAGAATCTGGTGAAACTGGCGAAGCAGTTCAGTAACAAGGCCAAGGATTCGCTGAGGAAAGTACGGACCAATGCTGTCACGCGAGTGAAGAAGTCCAAAGAGGGCGTCTCTGAAGATACCATTCACTTGATAGAAAAACAGGTGACACAAATGAACTAAGAAATAAATTAATTAATAAATATTAATTATCAATTTTTATTTTATTAATATCAGTAGTAATAATAGCAGTAGTAAAAAAATGTTAAATGTTTTATTATTAATAAATGAATATTAACTTAAAGGTATTGAAAGTAGTAGTAATTGTAGTCCTAGTAGCAATAATAATAATAAATATTAATAATTGTTTATTAATAAAAAATTAATGTACATTATTAGTAAAACACAAAATTTATGTCACTGCCAAAACTTTTGGCCAAGACTGTACTACGTCTTGACCAAAAGTTATAACATAACTGCATGCTTTTCATAATGGTTCTTTTTATCTCAATCCAGTCATATCCTGTTCTTTTTCATCTGATATATATATATATATATATGGGAAAACTTGCATGTTCTGTTAGTGTTTAAGATAGCTTTGTATTGTAATTTTTCATGTTCCCTTCTGTTCTCTGTATACTCTCTTTTATATGTGACACAAGAAAGCAAACGCAGCGGTCTTGAACCTCTGAACGCCGCTGCTCTTCCCTGCCAAGCCAAAGAGTCTCACCGCACGGCCTTCATTCTTCAAACCACAAAACTGTTTGATTACGAGGCCGCGCTGCAGCTCTAGCTCCAGCAGCAGGTGCTCGTCTGGCAGCGCGTTCAGAGGGGCCGGACGTCTCGCCCGTAATCAGTGCAGCCTCCTCACATGCACTTGCATTTCTAAAGAGAGCGGGAGGCTTGATTGGCTCAGAATCAGTAATTATGAACATTGTTTGCAGTAAACAGACACTACTCTTGGACTGTTTGCAAATGGCTGGCAGCAAAATGCCAATTATAAGATGGGGAAACTTCTACACCTACAGCAGAATTTGGGCGAGAACATCAGTTTGTTTATTGTCAAACTTTTTGTTTTATTTTCAAAGACCGTGCTTATAGCTGTTTCTGGCTTGCAGCCATATCATAAACACAGATTGTCTGTCATAAGCGTCATAATATCAAAGTGTAAATAACAGTCTGGACTGTCAGATTTGTTCTTAATGTAGTTACTCATCCTCTAAATGTCATTTGGTCTAAAAATATAAATCAGCACAACTGATCTGAAGACGTTTCAGTGATTATTATGATCTAAAATGAGTTGGTTTAACCGTGTATTTGACTTCCAGGGTGACGCGCGAACACAGGGAGAATCTGGTGAAACTGGCGAAGCAGTTCAGTAACAAGGCCAAGGATTCGCTGAGGAAAGTACGGACCAATGCTGTCACGCGAGTGAAGAAGTCCAAAGAGGGCGTCTCTGAAGATACCATTCACTTGATAGAAAAACAGGTGACACAAATGAACTAAGAAATAAATTAATTAATAAATATTAATTATCAATTTTTATTTTATTAATATCAGTAGTAATAATAGCAGTAGTAAAAAAATGTTAAATGTTTTATTATTAATAAATGAATATTAACTTAAAGGTATTGAAAGTAGTAGTAATTGTAGTCCTAGTAGCAATAATAATAATAAATATTAATAATTGTTTATTAATAAAAAATTAATGTACATTATTAGTAAAACACAAAATTTATGTCACTGCCAAAACTTTTGGCCAAGACTGTAACTGACCACAGGTTCTCTATGGGATTGAGATCCGGGGAGTTGCCTGGCCACGGATCCAAAATTTCAATGTAATGATCTTCGAGCCACTTCTTTGCTTTGTGACATGGTGCTCCATCATGCTGGAAAATGCACGGATCATCACCAAATTGCTCATGGATCGTTGGAAGAAGTCGCTCTTGCAGGATGTTTTGATACCATTCTTTATTCATGGCAGTGTTTTTGGGCAGAATTATGAGAGAGCCCACTCCCCTGGTTGAAAAGCAACCCCACACATGGATGGTCTCAGGATGCTCAGGATGCCGTTGTTTAAAAGTCTTGGCCTCACTGTGCGTTCAGATGCTCTCACACCAACCTGCTGCCATTCCTGAGCAAGCTCTGCACTGCTGGAGACACTATTCCGTAGCTGACTCCTCAGGAGGAGACGGTCCTGGCGCTTGCTGGACACTCTGGGACGTCCTGAAGACTTCTTCACTGCAGTCGAACCTCTCTCCTTGAAGTTCTTGATGATCCGGCAAATGGTTCTTTCAGGTGCAATATTCTTTGTAGCAATTTCCTCGCATGTGAGGCCATTTTGATGCAAAGTGATGATGGCTGCATGTGTTTCTTTGAAGGTAACCATTGCTAACAAGAACACGATGATTGGAAGTACTTCTTCCCTCCTTTTATAGCAATCAGTCTGCTCTTTACAATCTAATAAGTATGATAGGGATTTTACCTGACTAGTACTCATTCACACTTTCATATGTGCTGCTGATATGATTAGTCAATTAATGTTAGCTGCTCATTTTGTGTCAGGATCAAAAAACAGTGAAATTTGTTTTTGTTTTTTTTGTGAAAAGTTCATTTTTTTTTGGCCAATGAAGCTTTTAGCAATTATTTAAAATGCATCTGATCACTCTACACAGTAATCTAGAAACAATGTGAATGAACACCACAACAGCTTAAGCAGCAAACTTTGCCAAACACAAAATTTATGTCACTGCCAAAACTTTTGGCCATGACTGTAGTGATAATGGTAGTATTATTAATAATAATAAATAATGATATGTTTTAAATGTTGTTTTATTATTAATAAATGCATAAATATTCATTTAAATTTATTAAAACAACAATAATAATAATACAGTATTAATACTTATTTTATTAATAATGAAATAATGTTTATTATTATTATCATTACTAGCAGTAGCAGCAGCAGTAGTTGTAATTTTAATAATTATTATTACCTATACGTTTAATTATTGTTTTATTAATAAATATTAATTTCAAAGTAGTAGTAGTAGTAGTAGTAGTAATAATAATAACTAATAAAAATACAGTATTAATACTTATTTTATTAACAATGAATTAATGTTCATTAGTAGTAGTAGTAGCAGCAGCAGTAGTAGTTGTAATTTTAATAATTATTATTACCTATATTTTTAATTATTGTTTTAGTAATAAATATTAATTTCAAAGTAGTAGCAGTAGTAGTAATAATAATAATATTAATAATAGTTTATTTCATGTTTTATTACTATTAAATGAATGTACATTAATAGTAATAGTAAATAATTATAAATATGTTTTAGTAATAGTAGTTTAATAATATTATTAATAATTATAAATATTAATACTAGTCTTATTATTAAATTAATATATATTATTACTACTACATTTAGTAGTTGCAGTAGTGTTAATAAAATAATAATTAATGTTGTTCTATTAATAAATAGCCAATAATTAGCAGCTAGTAGTAGTAGTACTGATGCTAATAAATTGTTTTATTATTACTAATAAATATAATTTAGCATTAGTACTAGTAGTAATAATAATAAATAGTAAAAAAAAAAATTTAATTGTTGTTTTGTAATAAATAAACCAACCAACCAACCAACCGATAAATACCCACAAGGTATTTTTTTGCAGTCACACAAATATGTAATTGTGTAAATATAGTATGGTATTTATGTATAATAACCATATACATTTGCCTTGTGTTCTCCAATATCACCAGATTCAACAAATGGCAGACGGTTACGTGGCAGACATTGACAAACAGCTGGCCACTAAAACCAAGGAGTTACTCGGATGACAGTGAGGCCTTCCAGACTTTCAGAACGCCCCCGGTCCGTTTGTCTCGCTATCATCAGGTCAAAAACAGTCAGCTGTTCTTGTGACTGGAACAAAAATCCCCCAAACAGAAAACAGTTAATGATCGTGGTGATGGAAGCGGCGAAGGTGGTGTTTTGGATGGTGTTTGGGTTTTTCTCATGCATAAACAAATGTTGGCGTGGCACGCCAGTGGCTTATGGTGCTTCTTGTGTTCACATCTCCAAACAAACAAACGCAGGACAAATGAAGTTTTAATGTGATTTGGGGTACTCCTCCTAATCAAAGCAATGCCACAAACGTGGTGTTTATGTAAAAGGCACCGCACTGAATGTAAACGCTGTGGTCTTTACAGGAGGCTGAAAGTCACACAGGATGGAGGATGAGAGCACAAAGTAACATGCTGCCAACATTTGTTTCGCATTCACAATATCGGCCTAAAATAGTCATTATTTTCATCTATATGATCAGATCTAGCCTTGTAAACTTAATAAAATGCTTCAGTTATTGTCCTGGTGCTGTAGTCCGTGTGTGTGTGTGTGTGTGTGTGTGCGCGCGCTTCGCCTTTTGAATCATATTTCCACATCTGCTGTTCTTTGTTTATTACTGTTGAAACTTAATGCCCAAGATTATTCTAGAATGGCAATGTGAAATATATCTTCTTCTACGACAACATTTCAGAATTCTCAGTGCTGAATACTGATTCTTATTGGTTGATGAATGTTCCAAGGTTTTTCGGCTACTCTCTTTAAAACAAAAGGGGATTTTTGCAGAAAGTGCTATAGAATAACCATTTTAGGTTTCAGTGAACAGTAACCATTTGTAACTCAAATTTTAACCAAAACAACCATTTTTTTCCTGAGTGTAAAGAACCTTTGAATCATCTAAAGAACCTTTTCTCACTATAAAGAACATTTTATGCGACGAAAAGGTTCTACACTTTTAAAAAAGAATGGTTCTTTATTGGCATCAATGGTTCCATTTAGAACCTTTAACATCCATGGAAATTTTCCAGTGCACTTTATAGTGGAAAAAGGTTCTTTAGATTATTTCAATATTCTTTAAGAAAAACAGTGGTTCTTTTAGGAACAGTTTACTGAAAGGTTCTTTGGGGAACCAAAAATGCTCTTCTGTGGCATCACTGCGCAGCCTCATTTGGAACCTTTACGTATTTTTAAGATGGTTAGGGTTCTTTATGGAACCGTAGGTGCCAATAAAGAACATTTTTCATTCAGGCTTCACATGAGTAGTTATAGGGTTTAAAAACCATTAAGATCGAGAGAAAAAAAAAAAAAAAGGCAAATAATTTACTTTTTTTCTCTAATTTACTTCTTATCATTTCAACAGCTGGACGAAAGGTGAATGGGGTGAATGCTCAGCCAAAAAAAAAAAAGTTTGCGATAAATACAACATTCCGTCTTCAGTTTTTCCTTACATGTCCAACAGTATTTCTCGGCAGTAACCGAAAAGCATTGTCTCTAATGGAAGAAAACGTGGGGTCACTAAATAAACAAAAGTTTAGAGGAGCTATTTCGCAGACACAGGAAATGGGCAGGTTTCCCCCGGTCCATATGTCAGCAATTTGGGGGCATTGTATATCTTGGCCTGAGAGAGAGGCTCGTGATCGATGGAGGGGTGAAAATCCCGAGTCGCTGGCTCCGCGCGCTGCCCCGAAAATTGCTTTCAGCTGATAGCTTCATTTCACTTGACATTTATCAAGTGGATTACTGTGTGTTTCTCTGTTTACCACTACCGTGATGGAGAGGATTGCGATAGCAGCGGGGAGACCAAATGTTTTTCCTTCTGTGTCGCTGGAAATATATACATGTAAATTGGCTCTGTAAACTCTTGAATTGACAGTAAACTCGCATCGCAGGAATATATACGCTGCGTTACGTGGACCGTCACCTCTTGACCCGTGTCGGAACGGGGTCAGTGTGCATGCAAAATCAAAACAATGCATCTGCTATTAACCGAGGCAAGTGTCCAGCGGCATGGAAATCTTCCGTATTTCCCCCCTAGTTTGCATGCAAATGAGTTAGGACTGCACTGCATTATTCATCCTCTCAGTCTTGTGGCAATGCTAGAACACTGATGTGCTGGTTAGGTGGGAATATGAGCACTTTACAGACAACGGGGTCTCCAGCGAAGGGGCAGAGCGGTGCTATTATACTTTCCCTGTCCGCGTGCGCTGATTACGGTCCACGCACGCATCCGTACGCGGAGATAGTTACCGGGGGGCCTCGAGAGCGCGTTTAATCACTTCAGTGGCACCGAATTGGCTCCCGCGCGCTCGACGCGTCCTCGCCTGAAGTGCGCGAGCCACCCCGACCGCCTCATCAAGAATCCAATCAGTTTAAGCGTGAGACGCACTTCGCTGGAGATGAAAAGAGATTTTCCGTCGGGATGTCGGTGCCATAAGGGCATGATCACTGCATATGCAAAGTGGAAGGGAAATTAGCGCGGATTCTCTTCCCTCTGATAGTCATGCATATATCAGGGGAGCGTGTAAGGAGTTCGAAACGAAGCCTTTTCTGGCAAATGCATTATTCATTCTTGATCTCGGGTCAATCTGAGCGCTTTTTAAAGAATTACACAACTTAATATGTGGCTTGGTTGTGAACTGCATTGTAATGCAGGCATGATGATAGGTTAGATTTAACCGCCGCGTGCTCATGTCACTTCACACTTGAATTGGACTTCGAGCTCGCTGCTGTTATTCGATATCAGCCTAACAAACTTTTCCTCCCTGATCATTTATTATGCTGCCTGTGAGGAAACACAGAATCGAAATCCCTCTTTTTTATTTCAAACCTTTTTTTACTACAGTTTTCTGCACATTCATGGAATCTTTCAAGGTTCTTTGTAATGGAAAAAGAGGTTCTTTAGATTATTAAAATGTTATTTACACGAAGAAAAAAATGTTCTTTTAAGAACTGTTCACTGAAAGGTTCTTTGGGGAGGTTCTTCGAAGGCCAAAAAAACTTCTGGAACCTTTCTTTTTAAGAGTGTTGATGGAACTTTTAACATTTCAAGAACCTTTAACAACCATGGAACCTTTTCTTTGCGCAAAAGTTTCTTTAGATTATTAAAATGTTCTTCACACTAAGAAAAACAATGGTTATTTTAAGAACTGTTCACAGAAAGGTTCTTTGGGAAACCCAAAATTGTTCTGTTCTTCTTACAGATATACTGTACATATTTTAAGATATTTGCGTTTCAAAATCTATAAGTTGCAATTTTTACTTATATGAAATGTGGTTGGTCATTTATTTCTTGCATCTGTTGAAAGTTCCAGACATTATTTGACATTATTTTACTCTGTTTTCTTTCCTTGTGTTTACATATTTCCTAATGCAAATTGGAAGTTGAGACAGGACAGATTGATGAACTTATCCCTTAAAAAATGTCTTTAAAAATTCTAAAATAGACAGTAGCCACACCTTTGAACTATGATTTGCTACTTGCTATTGCTCGGTTCAGGTGGTATAAGAGGAATTAAAGGGAGGGACGTTTTCATTTTGGGGCCATTTGATTAGACAAAATGAGAGATCAATCTGTGTTTTCCATGAAGTGGAAATTTTTTAATTTATTTTATAATAAATAATATAAAGCTTTATATATTGTTTTCTCTTTAAGTGTAAATTGCTTAATTGTAGGACCTATTGCTAATTTTTTTTACACCCTAAACGTAGCTAACCTTAAACCTTTTATTGTTTTCCAAGCACTACAAATGCAAATCTGATTTTTATACAAAATGAAAACTATAGACCTTACAGGTTAGACACTATATTGAATTTAACATGGATGAAAAGGCTGTGAGGGAGAGACTTACAGTCTTTAAAATCAGTGTTGTGGAAAGCTACTTTTAAATGTAACGCATTACAATATTGTGTTACTCCATAAAAAAAGTAACTAATCACGTTAGTTACTTTTTATGAAAAGTATGCATTACATTACTTTTGTGTTAGCCTACTTTTTATCACCTATGCTGGGCTTGTTATATTTTTATAGTTATATTTTTGTCAACTGTAAAGGCCCTTTCACACCAAAAGTGAAATTAAGTTATTTTATAATAAATAATATAAAGCTTTATATATTGTTTTCTCTTTAAGTGTAAATTGCTTAATTGTAGGACCTATTGCTAATTTTTTTTACACCCTAAACGTAGCTAACCTTAAACCTTTTATTGTTTTCCAAGCACTACAAATGCAAATCTGATTTTTATACAAAATGAAAACTATAGACCTTACAGGTTAGACACTATATTGAATTTAACATGGATGAAAAGGCTGTGAGGGAGAGACTTACAGTCTTTAAAATCAGTGTTGTGGAAAGCTACTTTTAAATGTAACGCATTACAATATTGTGTTACTCCATAAAAAAAGTAACTAATCACGTTAGTTACTTTTTATGAAAAGTATGCATTACATTACTTTTGTGTTAGCCTACTTTTTATCACCTATGCTGGGCTTGTTATATTTTTATAGTTATATTTTTGTCAACTGTAAAGGCCCTTTCACACCAAAAGTGAAATTAATAAGCCTCAGGCTGAAGGAAGTGCCTCTTCATTTACTCCCATGAGGAAGTAAGGGGACAGGAGGGCTGTCAGTGAATAAATGGGGAAACAAAGCAACTTGCATTACTTATTTGAAAAAGTAACTTGTAAGTAATTTTCTTGAAAATTTAAAAGTAATGCGTTACTTGACTAGTTAGGCTACTTTTTAAAAAAGTAATCTGATTACGTAACTCGCTTTGCTTGTAATGTGTTACGTCCCCAACACGGAGTACAATGACACAAACTATAAAGGTCCTAGTTCATGAAGAATTTTCGGAACTCACAACTTCCATGGAATCTTTGTCCACTTTTTTCTTTCGGAAAGTCGATTCATCAGCCAAACAATCGGTATTGTTGTTAAACAACAGCACAATCCATTGAACGCACTTACTTCAGCCTCGTTTTCATTCCTGTCATAAATGAAATATGGCGCAAACCTGACTAAAGTCTATTCTAGTTGGGATTTTAGTCTGTGGAAATAGTTTCCTTCCGGTTGCCCTCCATCCAACCTGAACGACCTAAACCTGTGCTATGTGCAATTACATCCCGGCCCAGGGTGCGCTCATTAGATGAATCCTATAGAACAGAAACGTCTTTGAGTTTGAAGTGGTTAAACTGTCATTTCAAATCGTCTGGACCTTGTGATTACCAGCACGGGAGGAATTATATATTTAGCTTTAAGTCCGTAGCGATTTCCTGCCCCTGTCTTGATCCTAAGTGACTGGAGCTCTAGATACCCCCATCTCCACGGAGTCTCGATATCCCCGCGGGAGGACTGTAATCAACGGCTCAAAGCACGGAGAGACGCGAGATGAGGCGAGTGGGGGTCACGGCATAGGCCTACATGCGCGCATGCACAAAGCTGTCTGTGCTAAACGCGTATTATTCATAAGTCTTTGCTGCACAGAAGAGAAGGGAGGCACCTGCCATGCAAGGTAGTTAAAGGGACACGCGACTGGGGTGAGAGGCCTCTCACTGAGCCTGTGATCACTAGTGACAGTGTCGCTAATGCTGAGGGGAACGAAAGTGGACTGTAGTTTTGTGTAGCGAACAGATTTAAAGATTGGGTAGCGGTGTGACTGCTGTCTAAGGCCACCAAGATTTCTCAGCAGGTAGCATCTAAAAATAGGCTACACTTTACTTCAGGAATTTGAGGTGGTTGGAGTCTCACACATTGACTAAAAATAAAGGTTCCAAAAAGGGGTTTTCGAACCATTTTTGTTACGAAAAGAACCTTTCAGTGAATTGGGCCGGTTGCATAAACTGTTAAAAAGTTAGTCATCTAGGCTAATTT